AATGAATTTATTTTACCAATTCCCTGAATTTAATTCAGTGAATCTGTAAAAAAAATCTTAATTATTTCAGGGATTTTGTAAAATCACTAGTTAAAATCAGGGATTTTAGAAAATTACTAATCAGTTCAGTGATTTTACAAATTCCCTGAAATTTCAGTGATTTTACAAAATCCCTGATTTCACAAATTCCCTGTAACATATACCTGTATCACACGTACTATCTACATGTACAATATACAGAAATGACACGGCTGGGTATTGTAAAGTTACTGAAGGAAAATTAATGTCAAATTCATATACCCGGGCGAAGAAATTACCGCTTTGTCAGAACGGTTAGGTGTTATTTGTTCCAACTACCATATTGAAAATGTTTAAATCGCGCCCATCTCTTCCTTTCTTATACAGGCGCGGATCCAGAGCTTGAAGCGGGGGGGGGGGGGGTGAGAAATGTTTTTGAACACTAGAGAAGTTTTCTTGTTATACCAAACAATATGTTTTTCAATAATTGGCACACTTTTTGTTCATCCGGCATATGGTTACTCTAAATAAACTCTTTAGATTAGTTTAATTATTTAATTACAGATCGTATCTACCCGTTTTGCAATTGCCGTATCACCCCTTGCATCTATTCCACTAGCCGCGTCTTATCATGTGTGTTGATAAAGTTTTGTGATCTTAATAAGGCTGTTTAGTGGTATTTTTTTGTTTGTTTGTGAGATTAACATTCACCATTTGCTTTTCCCAATTCTGAACGTGTTTTTTTAACAAACTGTCCGGGGTTGTCGTCAGTAGCGAACAAAACGCAAAATTTGCAATAAATTCCGTCCTGTGAAGTTGAATAGACAATGCATGGGAAATAGTGCAGCCACGCATATTAGAAGCATCTTTTTAATCCGTACATTTCACGTTTATGAAAAGGAAAAGAACTAGGTGGATTCCAATTTTAATTTAGAATGCTATACATTTAAGCACTAGGTACAGATGTGGAAATAAAGTTTGCAATATCCTTAGATTCAGCAGGTGTCATTTTCTAAAAAACATCTTATGTATATGATAGGGTGAAAAAGTATTTTTCTTCAAATCAAGCTAACAAAAAACGTCGTTTTAATCATGAAAATACAAAGTAATAAAATATAGGGATAGCTGCCTTTGATTGTCTTAATTAAATCCTTTGATCCTCTAATTATCAAGTTACCCTCAAGCCAATGTAATTATGACATGTGTATATTTAATGGAGTGTAGCGACAACGTGTCACCCTATTCAGTGCTGGATATTCAATTTATAGTAAAGATAACATTAAAACAAGAAATGGTAAATACAAAAATTAATTTAAGATTTTCAAGCGGGGGGGGGGGGGGGGGGGGGGGGTTGCACCAATAAATGGAACTTAATTGTGTCATATTTACCTCCAAACGATTAACCTACATGGCCCGAGAACACAATTATTTCGTAGTGCATTTCTTTTAGACAATAAATTCAAATTAAAAAATCGCACCTGCTCTATATCAAAAAGATTTTTACAGTGTAGTGTACTACTAGTGGGACAAATAATATCAAAATTATAGAAACTTCTACCAGCTCTAACTCAAAATATTGACAATTCTGTGTTAAGGGGGTCTTAAGTTCAGTTTGACAGCCTCAGACATAATAAAATTTGACCTTTTTTTAACTGGACCAAATCACTAGTTAACATAAAGATTCAGCACCTAAATTTTTTTAACATGTAATTTCATCCCCCTACTTAATATTTCATGCATTAAATATCAAGAAATAAATTGGGAAAGTGCATCAAATAAAAATACAAGTTATACACAGTGGCGGATCCAGAAATTTTCATAAGTGGGGGCCTACTGACTGCCTAAGAGGGTCATGCTTCGGTTATTCCCTATATAATCAACCAAATTTTTCCCAGAAAAGGGGGGCCCGGCCCCCTGGGCCCTCCCCCTAAATCCGCCTCTGATACACTGTTCACACTAGGGACTATATTCGTAGACAATGAAAACCAAAGGACGATAACTGTGTCCCTGTACCACATGTAACATTATAATACTCACTTGAAAGGATGACTGATTTTTTTTTTAAAGATAAGAGTCTGATATAGGGCCTGAAAGCTGTCGTGGTTGTGAAGATTATTAATTCCGCCAGGCTTTTGTAGGAAAAAATGGAGAAATTATAAATGGAAATATAATGCACGCTGTTTAATCATGCTTTTCAAGGCTATTTACCGATGACTCGTACACAATCATTTTGAATGGTGAATAAGATCATATAGTTTTAGATGAATTAAGCACTCAGAAACTAGCCCGTAAAAAGGAGGAGGAAATCCAGTTTTTCAGTAAATATCAAAGTAAAAGTATATAAGTCTATAACATTTGCGCAATTGTATACTTGTTTTATTGACGCAAATGAATGCTGCAGTTTTCAAAATATAGTGACGCAAAAGAAGAATTGGCGTAATTAAGTTGTGGCGAAAATTGATTCTTTTTCTGTGCAAATGGATATCGGCCTTTAAAACACCGTTTGTACACTAACAAACGTGTATTTATCTTCTACGCTGTCTAGCATGGGATTAAAAGTTTTGGCAATTTGTGTAGGATTTTAATCTTAGAAAGTAACGAACAAGTAAGAAGATCGTCAAAAACCTGAAGTGTATCGGAAAATGAGCTATGCACGATAAAAGAAAATAGTCTGGTGCGTCGATATGAAATTTTACAGATGCATGTATTTTTTGTAAAATTTAATTAGTTTATTAATAACAACCATTTGTAGAACTGATTCTTTTGATCCTTCAAATATGTGTAAAATGTTTTTGATAGTTTCTTTCATATATACAATTGCAGTATGCTTATAAGTACTGTAGATTTGTATTTGATCATTGATTGCATGCATAATGTCCAGTGACAAATATTTCATAAGTTCGTACAAAGAACAAATCAAAAACTTTTAAAATACATTTGATTGGTTATTTAAGGTGATTCGATCTTGATGATATGCATGAAAATTTGTGAAGCTTACCTCTGAAATAAAGAAATAATAAAAAAAGGAAGAGTTTTTTTTTCTTCTTCTGTATTTTACTCATACATGAACTTAAGCACTTTTTACAGTCAAAATAACAGTTTTAACACCGACAGCAGCAATTGCAAGCGACGCTGGTTCCATATAAGTTTTCACGAATTTTTATAAATCCCTGACCATCTTCGGTTTAAATCAGACTCTGATATTGAGGGGAACATATACTACCATGGATGTCTTGTCTTTTTTTATACATTTAGATATAAAACGTGTATCTCATATAAAGCCTCATTTATAGAACATTATATATAATATTGTGTCAAGGAAATATTTGGATCAAAGAAATATTTGGAGGAGGAGAAAGAGGAGAGAGAGAGAGAGAGAGACTAATATTTTTCGCGGTATTTGGTCTCGTGTTACTCATGTCAAAATGTGATGGAAGGAAATGTTTCCCCTTCGTTTTATATAGCAGGGTATTCCATAGTGTCATTATATTAGTTACAGTTTTTTTTTCTATCGGTAAGAAATGGTATACAGTTCGAAATCTAATTATCTACATTAAGTTATAGTACATTTAAAGTAAGTTTATTGCATTGCTAAACGCTTCTCAATCAAGATAAAACGTTTACAACCAATACTATTTTTTGCGACTGAATACATTTTATTTAGAATAGATAGTTCACGTTCCATTGAACTAAGGGTATTGTTTAGGTTTTTTTTTTAAATTTTATAATGATCGAATTTGAAATGTTATTAACACAATGATTCAAAATTACAAAACGACATAAACAATTACGCAATTAGTATAAAACAAAAATTATAATAATTAAGATAACTTATTTGCTTTAATTATTTAATTAACAAGTGAAATGTTATCAATCCAATCTTTCCAATCTAATATAGTCCAAAGGGTGACAGGGGGATAGAAATATGGTCACTACAGGTCTTCTTCCGGCTGGCAGTAAAGAACAACCATGTCAAAGAGGTGCATCCATTTGGTTGTTCGGGATATACAAGTACGCAACCAACTATAAATCAATCCAATCTAATAATTGTTTTTTTTTTATCCCGCATTTTTTTTATAATAAATTAAAAAATAAAATAATTGAAATAATTTTCTGAAATAAAAGCCTAATATATATATCATACGCTTTACAAAACGATATGCCACACGATAGATGAAACGTTAAACGATATCATATACCATAAACGATAAACGAACGCTAAACGCTAAACGCTAAACCATACCATGTACCATACGACAAATCAAACGCTTTACGATACCATGATGCAAACGATATACAGAAGGCCCGAGAACACAGTTATTTCGTAGTGCATTTCTTTTAGACAGTAAATTCAAATTAAAAAAATCGCACCTGCTCTATCTCAAAAAGATTTTTACAGTGTAGTGTACTACTATTGATACAAATAATATCAAAATTATAGAAACTTCTACCAGCTCTAACTCAAAATATTGACAATTCTGTGTTAAGGGGGGCTAAAATTCAGTTTGACAGCTTCAGACATTCTAATTTTTGACCTTTTTTAACTGGACCAAATCACTACTTAACATAAAGATTCAGCACCCAAATTTTTTTAACATGTAATTTCATCCCCTTACTTAATATTTCATGCATAAAATATCAAGAAATAAATTGGGAAAGTGTATAAAAAAAAAATGCAAGTTATACACTGTTCACACTAGGGACTATATTCGTAGACAACGAAAACCAAAGGACGATAACTGTGTCCTTGGACCAGAACCCTAAACGATGACATTTACCATACGATACACGAACGATGAATGAACGCTGACCGAACGTTGTACGTACGCTATACGAATGATGTACGAACGATGACCGAACTCTATACGAACGATTCCCGCACGCTGTACGTACGATTCCCGAACGAAAAAAGTGTTAACTTTTACGTTACAGGGACTGTATCATATAACATGTACAATGATTCGTTGATTACAGTCATTTACCTAATTTATCCAGATCCGTTATGTTTAATTTTTGCCTATATACACCAACCCAGTACATTACAGTTGAGTCTCCCGGCTGTTTCTTGTTACATATGGTATCTGAATGTAGCAACGGATAAGCAAAATGCCGTATATTGCAATTTGCAAAAAGGGTGATAAATGTCATGGTACCACTATAAGCTTCTTCCTTGTTTCCTATAATTTTAAAGACAAATTTAATTTTCATGTTGTTCATTTTTATATGTTTACAATATTTTTCTTCTTCAACATCCCGCTAGTACGTTAATTCACAGTGCTTAGTCCATTTTTTTTTGTGGATTGGTATAAATATTAGTCGTTTATATAACATTCAGAATAAACACAACTAATGTAACACCCAGTCTCATCTTATGAGTCAAACCGATTGACATGATGGATGTTTGAATATCCATTCTTAGACATTATTATCTAATTATTTTCGTTCGTTTATGTGTCCGCCCATTTTGTTCAGCCATTTTAGATCTCGTCATGACGTCATAAAAAACAAGAGCAGATAACTCTAATAGGAAAGTATGTTTTGGTTTGCTAACGTTGTCTTTTATTCTACATGTATTTTCATGTCTTTTTGAATGAAAGAACGTTTTATTATTCTTTAATACAAATGAAAATAATAATTTTTCTTAAGCCTGGCGATGGCCGTGTTAATTAGTATTCCAAAGTATGAAAAACACACGAATCCCGCTAAGTTAAACGTAAACAATCCAACACATGTTTTCATTTTCTGCATGTGTTCTTCGCCTCCAATATAGGAGATAGAGGAATTTTGTGATATCACGACGAAATTCAAAATGGCTGAACGAAATAGGCGGAGACAAATATACAAGGAAATAATTAGACATTAGTGTCAAGGAAATGAATTTTCAAACATCAATAAGTACGTAATATCATAGAAAAATATCTAACGAAACGAATTATATACATTTGGCAAGTTATGCACGGGCGATAAATAATGAAATTGTTGGAAATAAGGGCGACCTGAGCCTTGGTCGCGATTCCAATATTTAATAAGAGAATAATCCTTAGATCTCAAAATATCATAATGACCATAGTAACTATTGTTCTGCAACTATTGTCAGATACCCTCACCAATACAAGAATATTGTTGAAAACACACTCAGAACAGATTGATCGTTATTTTTAATAGTACATGTAAAGCATTTGTTTATCATATAACACAGATAGAAACCTATTTACTTAATTATTAAGTACGTGATAACTGGTCAGAATATAATTATTTAATCTATTTTGAACGGTATAATTTTTTTTTTGTTTATTATCCTGATGTGTATACAGAAATAAAAAAAAAAACGAATGTTTTCATAACAAAATCAATGCAAGTCCGATAAAAGGCAATATTCAAATTCTTATTACAGTGTTTAAATGATAACCTTTTAGAATAAGTGTATTCAAATGATTGATAAGTTTCTATGGATCCGAATTTATAGGCTCTATTGTTATAACAAAATCACTGAACAGATAATGTATCTGTCATACATGGATTAAGCTTATTGAAATCTAAAACGTCACACAGACACGCCGGGTATAGCGAACGATTTCGGATATACTGCTATAGATTTGTTTGGTTTAACCCGATTTCTCCCCTGACAACGAGTATGTGCAAAAAAAGAGAGAAGATACCAAGGACGCAATAGAAATCATAAGTCCGATAAATACAGACATCAAAATGGTCAGAAAGAAAAACTACGACTGGAAAAAAAGCAATAACAAATCACCAAATATCAAACTTATAACACAAACGGATGTGCTACGGGATGAAAAGCAGTTCAAGCTCCACTAATGTTACTCGTCGCTTATCGCAGGTAAACACCGGTGATAAAGAGAATAGAATTTTACCGATCTTCAAATCTCATTACTCAATTTTGAGGACAAATCAAATTACCAAATACAAACTGAGGGAATCGCATGTACTCTAAAAATAGCGAGACCGGTACATCGACAAGGTTATCGTCTCTTGTTATATATAACTGAATCAACCGTCATGCTAATCCACACTCAGTCAAAATGTCAGATTTGGGAGGGGGGTAGGAGCTTTATCGGGACTCCGGGATCGGGTGTTTTTAAGCTCGGGATTTCGGGATTGATCCTTTCGGGATCCGGGAATTCTTTTTTCGAATGTGGGGATGTCGGGATTTAATTTTATTTAAATTCGGGATCTCGGGATTCCATGTTTTTAAGCCCGGGATTTCGGGATCAGGACCCCTCCTACCCCCCCCCCCCCCCCAACCCCCCACCCCCCCCCCTCATTTGGGAATAGGACACAATCGGTATAATTACAGATTAGACTCGGATGACATGTCACTGTTAAGACACAGACGTATGGTATCGGTCTTGTAATTCTTGAGATAGGAACCGTAAAGCATATGTAGTGTCGATTTTAGTCCTTTTCCAATTCTCTGTTGGAGCAATTGTTTGTGAAAGGAGCACACCTCCAACATTGAAGTCCGAATAATGTGAATATACACAAGTGTAACGTACAAATTGAGATATGTTAACACCATACGATGCGACAGGTTACTGCAGTTTAAATACATGCAATAGGAGAGTTAAAATCATCATGTCTGTCATAGATTCTGGTAAGAAGTCGTCCATTTGTGTCGAAATCGTTGAAAGAATCAAGATATGAAGCAGTTAACTATAAACTATCTGCAGTTCACATCGTGTCTATGGATGGTTTGTTACTTTCTCTTCAAAAACCTATGGGAGTTCACTATACAGTTTACAATAAAATTGTTATTCATCATTTGCTGAATAGTTCAAGTGAATGTGCCTTATCAAAAGAAATAGAAAAGATGTTTTATTAAATTTTCTATTTCCAGTTAGAATAAGGGCCTTGTGAATTTAAGTGGAAATCTTTAATTTACCAAAAAACATATGTTTACATTTCTTCGTATGCAATTAACTACTATGATTTCTTATAAACTTACGACAGTAAGCTTTGAAATAACTGCCACATTTTGATTGGGAGTAGGTTGGTGTTTCAATAGAACTGCAGTTACGAGCCAGACAGAAATTATCTTCATCTGTTGAATTGCTCACTGATCTGTTAAATACTAAGATGAAAACATAAATAATTCAAACTAAAATACTTAAATATATTATGGAAATCATTGATGTGAAAAGTACAATTGTGTATTTTGTCGGATTTTTATCCGGATTATAAAGATATAAGGAGATGTGGTATGATTGCCAATAAGACAACTATATACCAGAGACAAAAGCACGAAAGGGAAAAAACTCGGTCATGTTGATTCACCACCCAATTACTTGCGTGCTCCAATGCAAAGAAAAGCGATGTACTACTTATCTCTTCAGATTTCTATTCCAAACAGTCGACAGTAATGTTGCAAAGGCTTTAATGCCAGGTATGACATAGCCTTTATCGTAACAAAAATTTCAAATAGACATCATAGGACAACTCTTAACCGCAAAATAAAACAAGGTACAATACCAGATACGAAATTTTCGATTAGAAATAATTAGCTTTCATTTTGCTGAAAAATTATCTTTCGACGTTTTTGTCAGTTCATATTGTATTACAACAGTTACTCTTCTATTTGCACAGTCAAAATATTGACTGTATAAATGTTGTCTACACTAATGTGCATACAGTCACTGACCGTATAAATGTTGGCTACACTATTGTGCATACAGTCACAGACCGTATAAATATTGGCTACACTAATGTGCATACAGTCACTGACCGTATAAATGTTGGCTACACTAATGTGCATACAGTCACTGACCGTATAAATGTTGGCTACACTACTGTGCATACAGTCACTTACCGTATAAATGTTGGCTACACAACTGTGCATACAGTCATTAACCGTATAAAGACATGTTTGTAAAGTTGATGTGTTTCTATTTTATCTTTGTCTTAGTGAAAGAGTGAATTTTAACGTCGTCCGGTTCCAATTCAAAATTGTTGATTTTCACCCTAACTATTTCATTTGAAACAGTTTTATGATTTGCATTATAAAGAAAGATATAACAAATAGTCTATGAAAATATCCTTAATTAGTGTACGGCAAATACGATAGGATCTTTGTTCAAGTTTTTTTTTAAAACAAATTGTTTTGGCTAAACTGTAAACTGATTTTTGTTTACGTTTCCGATTGCTACTACACTACAATAGATTATGTAACCAAGTGCATCAGCTTTTGATCTGTGATACAAATTGCATCTATATCGATAGCCGGTAATAGAGTGTGAGTAGGAAGTGTGGATTTGAACAACTTACTTATTTCATAATGTAGTGCTAAAAGAATTTGGACAAAGTAAGTGAAATATTCACCTTGAAAATGACTGATTAGTTATACTTTTTGTGTATCTATTTGTTGGCATAAGCTGATAATGTCATGTTTACCATAATTTTAGTATGATATGATTATCACTACTAGTCAGGATAGAATTACCAATTTGGATACCTTTATAAACATCGACAAATCGGTCGTAGGTTCGTACAGCTGAAACATTCGAACACAAACTTGCATTTCCACTGACCTCACTGACTAGTCTTGTGTCCTCAAAACAAACACATCTGTGTTGCTATAAAACGAAAATCTTTAAGGAAAGACATTTAGGCAACATGAATACTAATATAGCACATCAACGAATTTCAATTTAAATTTCTAATTCGACAGAAAATATTGTTGATAATTATAATTTTCTAATCAGAAATGACATTGATGAGCATGTTCATATTCCAACAAGAGTACATGACAGGTGCCTACAGTCGAGTAGGAATTGCATACCATTCGGCGAATCCGAGTTCGCCTTTTCTGTTCTAATATTGTTGGCAACAGTTAACAAATAACGAAACATCATTTGAATAATATGTGTGTCTTATTAATGAAGTACATGTACTTGTTGTACGTGTGTAGTTGCAACACCGTTTCGAAAACCGGTTTATTTGTAATTCAGTAGTTGTTTTTGGTTGCCGTCTGTCATTTGTTTGCCGTTTATTGCTTTATAATAAACCCTGTAGCTTGTATTGTCTTTTGGCCTTACGAGGACCTATTGTTGCTCACATGCGCCTGTTGGTCTCTGATGGATAGTTTTCTCGTTTGCAATCATACCTTATATTCTTATTGCTATATAAGCTGTAATTTTTCATTTGCATCTGTCGATTGATTGATATATAGATATGTATGTGTATTTGAACGGAAAAATCCTAACGATGATCCCGAAGTTTGAGATAAATTTTCAAATAACATAGGTACGTTTACTTAGATAAGTTTTAGTTATTGAAACATAAGAAAATCAGCGTATTATCTATATTAATCTCTATATCAGTTATTTTATGATTTGGAAACCAGCATTGTGATACATTTTATTTTAGAAATTTTGACTCACATGTTGGTTAAATCCAAAATATTGAATGTTTCTTTTCCATGTTTTCATGCACTTAACTTGACAGACAGCTGGATCATCCACATTGAATATATCAGTTACAGTATCCATATCAGCAGATATGTTATAACAACCTTTGAAGAGCAAAAAGTCATTTATGATACTCATGTGTATTCGTACGCTATGTGTTTCAGACATTTCTGCTTGAATTAATTATTGCAAGAGTTGAAGAATGGACGAAAATGCAAATATTGCGATTTCAGGAAATGATAAATACAAATAATGCTTTTCAAACTGTAAATGCGAGTTTTTATTTTTGCGAAACCTATATCGTCGCAATTTTTCACAATAATAATAACATTGACAAAATTTATGAATTTACAGTTGCCACGAGTTATATTTATTTTTGGATTGCTTCAGTGATCGCATGTGTTCACTCTTATTTGATCTGTTTGATCTTGGAGTGATAATGTTTCAAATGACGTTGGTATACTGCTTTAATAATTACAGCTTCAACATAAAAATATTCAAAATGTTGCCTGATAAGCTCTTAAAAAAATGATATTATTAAGAACTGATACCAGAAAAATATTCTTTTCGTTCATGTTGCCAAAGAACCTATTATATAAATTTGATTCGCATCATCAACGGTCAAATTTATGTGGGATTTTTTTTTGTATTGTCTTTCTGTCGTCGGGATGCTGCATCATTGTCGTATACAGATGTTTAGTTTTGATTGTCATTGATTCCTAAATACCATGTTAGTTAACCTTCAATATCTACAAAACATTGATGAAGATTGTGTTCTTAGTCTTCTCCTAGTATGAAAGTATGTCAATTTTCTTTAATTCATTGAATGATCAATATTCTGCTGAACACATAAAACCGAGAATTATAATTAAGTGTCTACCAATATACTGACGGTACCTACCCATTCAAACGAATGGTTGACATTAATGACGGAAAGTATAACATATAATCTGTTAATGCATTTCAATCGTTTATTGTCAAATTGTGTATCAACATAATTTGTCAATATTTCGTTCTCTATACAAACCTCTTATTTCAATCCATGGTAACCACGCTACAAAACTGCCAATCCATAGGCTCTCTACGCTGTTACTTTCACTGATGTAGTCGGTAAGTATTGTTACATTGTTTTCTAAAATAGTATGTTGATCATAACAATGTAAAGCTGCATCAATCCATGTCACTGTCGTTTCGGGGAATCCAGTGACTGACGTTTCGGGGAATCCAGTGACTGACGTTTTGGGAAATCCAGTGACTGACGTTTCGGGAAATCCGGTGACTGACGTTTCGGGGAATCCAGTGACTGAAGTTTCGGGGAATCCAGTGACTGACGTTTCGGGGAATCCAGTGACTGACGTTTCGGGGAATCGTATTACTGTCGGTTTGAAGAATCCAGTGTTTGACGTTTCGGGGAATCCAGTGACTGACGTTTCGGGAACTCCAGTGACTGACGTTTCGGGGAATCCAGTGACCGTCGTATCGGGGATTCCAGTTACTGATGTTTCGGGAAATCCAGTGACCGAAGTTTCGTTGAATCCAGTGACTGAAAGTACATGCATTTTATAAAATCTGTAAAACTTAAAGAAGGAATGAAATTAGTGTCATGATAATGTTTCGTCCTATTCTTAAATTATTGTTGATGACCAATGCATTTCTTAATATTTTTGAATATTGTCCTATTTTTTGTTTGTTTTTTTAAGTAATTCAATTCAAAGTTGAATGTTAACAATATAATGAGGCGTTGGGTCTTTTAATAAACTATTGTTGGAAATGAAAGATGAAGGACTGAAGAAATCGGAGAATAACAATTTGACGCACTTACGGAATTTTCAGAAATATGGGGCGAAAACAGAAAGATACAGAAAACAGAATATGAAATGAGACACCGATCATTAATCTTATGTTTGTCGATTGGGGAAGGAGGCAGAGGTTCATGTGCTTTTTCTTGGGTCAAAGATATTTTGCGACTGTTAACTGAATGTTCTTTTATTTTCAAGCAAAGCAAACAATTATTTTTACTTTCATTCTGTAACAAATAATAGTGTTCCAAATAATTCAGAATCAAACTCCTTTACATATAGCCAGGAATAAGATAGATTGTATTATCATCTTTAACAAAAATCGATATCTTCTTATAATATGTGTAAACGAAATGTAAAATGCTATAAAAAAGAAGATGTCTTTTAGATTTTTTGTTGTGTCTTTGTGTTCCTGTCTCATTAAAAACAGAAGTATTCCTAAACATTCAGGACACTGTTCTAAACGATTAGTTTGTAATATATTCCAAGTACTATCTTTTGCAGATTATTTCAAGAGTTGATAATTTTGTTTTTACTTGGTCGTCTGATGAATAGAGAAAAAACTCCTCTCAGTATTCGGAAAATCTAACAGTCAATTTACTGGAAAGTAATTTATGTGGTATACTGGCTGCTTTTAAAGTTTTGTTCGTTTGCATTGTTTGTGTTCGAACAGCTTGAATCACAATTTTAAAAATATGCTATCATCTTGATTAGATACAAATAACAAAATAGTTCACAATGAACTTGTGAGTATTTATTACCTTGTTCGCCTTTCATAGAAACAGAAAACAATGAGAACAAAGCTAAGTATTCAAATCCCATTCTTACACTTCATGTTATGCTAGGTGTTTTTATCTGAAAAAAAGGAAGTTATTTCTAAGTCTGATTACAAGGAAAACAGCTGATATTTAGATGTCATTTTGCGTACAATATAATTTCAAAATAAACCATGAGGAAATAATTATATCGGGAATGTTAAATGTGTATTTATATCTTAGTGTTAAAGGAAATTGTATTTCACATTGGCATTGAAGGAAGAGGGCACTGATTTTTAAATACATTTAGTCAATAGTGTATATTGTTGAATACTGTTTTTTACTCTCTTGATTAGTTTTAACATATTTTATTTGCCAAATTAAAGCAAAATGGATTAGACACAAGTAAATCATTTGCATGTAAAAAAAACAGTTTATAGAATATAATACGAGCTATTATATGTACAAAACAGAGAGAAAAAAAAGAAGGAAAGTTTGAAAAGTAATATAATTCTGTGATGATGACGGGAGTGTTGATGATGATGTTCGGTGTCAGTTACAATAAAGCTTCATGAAGGGTACAAGAAATCTGTTTAACCTTTTGATGAAATTTTAAACATGTTTGAATTTGTGAATATTTTTTTCGTTCGAAAGTTCCAAGTTTCCGCAAATTAATAATTTTGTATCTAAAACAAAGTTTTCGGAAAGCAAGTTAAGATTATTGAGTAAGGTTTCTCTACATGAAGTGTATTTTGGACAAACGAAGAAGTAATGATGAACATCCTCAATTTCTGACCCACATTGGCAAAAGTGATCATTTATAATGTTAGCTCGAAAAAGGTCATAGTTTAAGAATGAAGCGGAGCATTGCAATTGCGTTAAGATAATATTCAATTTTCTCGGACCGTACAAATAAAACGTGTCAACTTTACTTAGAAGACTATCGTTTTTCAATTCGTTCTTAAATTTAGAAATAGAGTCGATGCTGCGAATTTTTGGATCAAATGTATTCCACTCATTTATTGTGGAGGGAATAAACGATTCAGTAGTAAGGAAAAGTCTACAAAATGGAACAATGATATCATGTCCATTTTGCAACGGATAGTTGGTTGTACTTTGTACACATGGAGGTACTAGATTACATAAGTACTCTGGTGCATGTTTTTGGTTTATGTTATAAACATCTGTAATTTTCTTCTCATTCGTCTTTCATAAAGAGATTCCCAGCCAATCTCAGAGTATACGGTTTCAGTTTTAGTGAATATTGGTGGACCGGTTACAATTCTTGTTGCCTCTAATTGCAAATTTTCTAATTTTTGTGAATAGCATATTCCACAATAATCCAACACTTCCGTTGCATATTCAAAAATGGGTCGAATAAAAACTAAGTACAGTTTTTCCGAATTGTTTCGAGATAGTCGGTTTTTAAGTTTACGCAAAACATTTAAGTGTTTCTTCACACTTGTAATTATACTTTCAATGTGATTGTTCAGTTTTGCGTCACTACTGAAATTAACTCCCAGGTGCTTATGTGATGTACTTAAAGGGGTATTTTTACCATCTGAGGAAAAGCTGAGGTCTGGAGTCTCAATATTTGAGAAAATCATAATTTCGGTTTTAGCAGGGTTAAATGACATAAGCCATTTAGTAGACCAAACATCTTGTTGTCTGTAAGTTATTATGTCATTGGATATCTGTCTGATTTAAAATCCCCTTCCAAATCTACTTGTATTCATATCTTTAACCAAGTCGAAAATATATCACATAATCCGGTAATAATGTAAATAACATGTGTTACATTGCATATGATGTATGATGAATTATGCTTACATCAAACAAAATATATTCGATAAACAGAGTAGCCCAGTATTCTATAGTGCATTCTCTTCATTCTCTATAAGCTGGTATAGACATGACTAATATTTTATCTTAGTAGCCGTACCAACTATGTTGCAGTATTTTCTAACAATTGGAAGTGCTTTGTTTGGAGCGCTTTTGAAAAAGGCGTCAGCAAGTATATCTGTATATTGCAAAAAGGTTTATTACCAGTGTAGTTCAAATTATAAAATAAATAAGCCTTCATATGAACAAAGGGTGTCATGGAGTAAACGACAACAACCACACGACCCATAAACGACACTTAAGAAATATTGAAGTCAACAAAATTGTCTTCAACAATAGACAGTTACCCCTAGAAAATTGTCTGGCTTTTAATCGAACCAAATAACAGAACAGATATGATATCGTTACGTAATTCTCCAAATAACAAAATTATCAAAATTATCAAAACGAGGTTCCAGTCTTGAGACACAAACGTACATGTATACATGCAGCAGGGTTAAAGTAGTTTGTATCTTTACACATCAATTTATACAACGACAAAATGCTGGCCTACAAAGCGTATGATACATTGTCTCATACTAGGAGACTAAAAGCAAAACAATTTGCTCAATAAAACAAATTATAAAACAATTAATGTGCCGTCATAAATATATTTCAAATGAAAGTATTTAACTCCAAAGTCTGTACAAATTAGCTAAATACTCTACTTACATGATTTCTCGTCTTAACTGATAACATTCTTAATAATCAATAGGTGATCAAGTTAAATAACTTCCTTAATTGGGGTATTTCTTTCAAATCTGTAGTTAACTATTCAACACATAAACATTCCGTGTAAGGTACATGAAGTAAGTTAAATGTCACAACACAGTTGTTTACATGTAGCAGTTGTGTAAAAAACTTTATTATTTTGAGGAATATATGGATATGAAGATATTAAAAATCAACAGAAGGATATACCAAATTAAAATGTTTCATTACCTCGTATGTACCATTCCTTAATTTGAAAATTAAAAGAAATATTTTTCTCATGTGTATACACGTCTAGATGTTTTTAGTACAGGGTTAACATAACAGAATAATAATTACATGAATAATCCCGGCGAGAACCCGGAAGGTTCCCAACTAAACAATAATTTAGATAGCTATGAAAGATAGATTGGAACATGTCTTTACGTAACCTTGCGTTAACCAGAAATTGGTTTTTTATAGAAAACACCAATATAAAGATATTTCCTTTCAGAATGATACATCTTTTTTTTGAACAAACAATCCGGAACATAACAATAGATATATGAGGAAATCATGTAAATTGGGTGGTTGTGATTTTCTAATTAATTGATACACAGATTATTTTTTTTAAATGAATGACAAATCGATTATTGCAAAGAAGCTATAGCCTGTGAAAGCTTCAACTCAGCGGATTTTTTTTTAAATGTCAGCGACGTTATTAATGTCTATAGTTATTTTACCATTCCTTATATCACTATAACAATATAACACTGTTGTGTCTCACCATGTGAAAAGTGTGAAGGGGTATCTTGCAAATTGCTATATTCGGTTATTATATATAATATTCAAGAGTATATTAAATTGACAGGAAATGTACTATATATTTGTTCAGGTACATTTTTCATCACCAAAAGTAGCCAATTGACATAATACATGGACTGCAAGTTAAAGAAACTTACTATCGGCTTTCAATTGTCAACGTCATCATGACTAGGTGTTTTCTTTAATAGTCGAATCAAGTTTACTTCCAGATCGATACATGGAGTGTACGTGCATACAGTTTTTTTTAAATAAGACAATCGTTCGCGCCTTTTTTTTTGCATCCGTGTATGTATTATCCTTTAATTACGATTTAATATCAAAAGTTTCTGATCGAGTTTGATTGAGTCCCGTTAAACATAGAGTTGATATAATATGGTCCTACATATCAGTAATTACATCTTCGCTAGTCAAGGGTTACGATCCACTTCCCTCCTCTCCACCCTTGGCAGATTAAGCCAACATTTGTGATAAAAATGTTGCGCCATCTATCGGTAGATTAAAGTCACGCCCATTCGGAATACTTTATTCTTGACTAATGGTAGCACTTGAACTCTTCAATTTGCAGTTAAAAACACGGTAGCGTCTAGATTCTACACACTTGGTAAAACAGGAAACGAAAATATGCGTTGACATTCATGCATTTGTGCAAGAAACATACACAGGAACTTCTATTAGTTGATTAAAAACATTCAAATTGTCACTAAATACAGTCGTATATTTAGGGATGTAAAGACTTGTTGCACAATAAGCACGTGGCAATTGTTTACATACACTTTCTACATTTACACGTGATCATGTTATAGGCGCTTTTTGATTGGATGCAGCGAGTTTCGACTGCAACCAATGAAAATCATTACCTTGTGTCTCCGAAATTCTATCTCAATCTGCCAAGGGTGGAGAGGAGGGAAGTGGATCGTAACCCTTGGCTAGCGAAGATGCAGTAATTAGTTCCTATTGGGATATTCTTGTCGCATATAAAACTGATATACACGTCTGAATTTTTTTAATTCACATGTATGAATTTATTTAACAATTCGTAAAGGTACGCCTTTTCTTTTGCATATCTTCATCCTCACAATTGCCGTTGCTATAAAATCGAGATAATGTGGTATGGTTGTCAATTAGACAACTCTCTGTCAAAGACCAAATGATAAAGAAGTTTACAACTATATGTCACCGGACGGCCTTCAACAATGAGCAAACCCATGCCGCTTAGTCAGCTATAAAAGGCTCCGAAATGACAAATGTGAAACAATTCAAACGAGACAACAAACGGTATGATGTAAGTACAAAACAATGAACGGAAAACAAATATGATATACAATAACAAAGGTCAACCACTGAATTACAGGCTCCTGATTTCGGACAGGAACATATATAATTTGCCGGGGTTCAACTACTTTGTTGGCGCAAATCCCCCCCCCTCCTCCCGCCCCTTAAGGTTGGACAGTGGTGCAACAGTTTAACATTACGCTTAAACTAAAACCATTTTTTGTTACTGGTTACAGACATGTAAGCACCCGATACATCTTTGAACACATTTCATCAGACTTCTTGTTTCAATTGCGTGCTCTTTTATTTAACTACATGACAAAGCAAGATATAATGTTGGCTGACTGAGTGAAGTTGAAGTACAAAAGGAAAATATTTCTTAAAACAGTACAGCTACATTAACTCCTAACAAAAAAATTTAAGAATATCTATACTATCATGAGAATGTGTATGGTTGTATTAAGACAAAATGAAAAATAGAACCCGTGTATACATTTTAGAAAAAAAAAGAATAGACCTGAAGACAGTATAACAAAAATACCGAACTCCAAGGCAAATTCAAAAAGAGAAAGTCCATAAAAACTGACGAAATCAAACGCTATCAATCAACAGACAAGTGAAAAACAACTGCTATATTCCTGACTTGAGTTTTTGTTTAATTTCTCGTGGTACATTTTACAGCATTTACAGGACGAAAACATACACCTTAAGATCGACGAACCAACTGCATTACTACAAGGACGTTCATAGTGATATGGTTTAAAATATGTATAGTTAATACGATAAATGTACATAGTGTAATCGTATACGAATGTATCTAGTTTGATGCTATAAGAATGTATTCAGTGTGGTTTTATACATGTACCTAGTGTATTGCTTTAAGAATGTACCCACTGTGATGTTATAAGAATGTACATCGTTTATTGCTATAAGAATGTACATAGTTTGATGCTATAAGAATTTACTCAGAGTGATGCTATGAGAATGTACTCAGTGTGATGCTATAAAAATGTACTCAGTGTGATGCTATAAGAATGTACTCAGTGTGATGCTATACAAATGTACTGATTTTAATGCTATAAGAATGTACGAAGAATAATACAAGGAGAGTGCTTAAAATGTAGTATAATTGCTATAGGTAATTTTATAAGAATACTAGTATTATAAGTGTATATAAAATTCCCCCTAAGCGATAGTGTATGGTATGCTGAATTTGTCCTCCAGTATTGCTGCAGAATTTATGAAACTTAGCATTTGCTTTCAAATAATATTTTTTTTCAGAGTTTAAAAAATATATAAATCTCAACTCATTTCACCAAAACCTCTCATTTTCCAATCGAGTATTCCACTCTCCATTTACCTTGAAGGGGTAAATATTGTAGTAAAGAAGTGTCAGCTCATTCTGATGAAATGTTAATAATTTCATTTACTAATGCACATATCGATCATGTGAATAATTTTCAACGTACACTTTATTTACTCTGAAATAAAGGTAAGAGTTGGGTTTGTGTTCGTGCTTAAAATTTAGTTTCATTGGGGTATTTTTAAACTGTTGTTTCTTTTTCTCGTCTTTATTCTTTTATTTTGTGGCGATTTGTGTTTTTTCGAATTGTATATTCAAAGTTGTATTAGTATCCTTATATAAATTAAACTTAAACTTGCAGTGAGGTGAGAGTTTTTTTGCTCCATGTTGAGATCTCACTGTGACTTTGAGATTAGTGAGGTGAGAGTTTTTTTTTTGCTCCATGTTGAGGCTTCAAACTGTGACTTTGAGATAAAGAACAGCAATACAAGCGCTGTTTCTTTGCTTTTTGTATGCTTTTTTATTGTGCATTTACTGATTTTGTGTCATGGATATATCCCCTTATCCTTTGTTTTTCTGTTTTAGTATGCAAAGTCTATCTTCTCGGTTGATTTTTAAATATCTACCCTTTTTTAATTTCAAGATTGTGGTCACTTATACAGAGTTTGGTGAAACACTTTCTTATAATATAATCGTTGTACCAAAAGTAAAATTCGTCATCTTGTGTTTTATGTTTTTGTATAAAAATAATTTACGTTTTTCATCATATCTATTAAATTTATTTTTAATTAAAATCTTATATTTGTCTTCTATTTCTTTATTAATAAGAATCTTGAGAGGTTTAACTTCTTTCAAATTTTTACAATATTCTATTGTATGTAAGGTATAATATGTTGTAATATAAATGTAATTTGTGCAAATATATAATAAAATGATAGATCTACAATCTTGTCTTCTAGCTATAGGTTGTAAACCATTCCACACTTTTTATGGATTATAGAGAGAAAAAGTATCATTAGGTGGTTAGAAGGTAAACTAAATGAAATTATTTTGAAATAAGATACCAGTAGATACAATGTACATCTTATAAAATGCTTTCAGAATATCAAAAGAAAAATAGGGACATCGTATGCATGCTAAAACATCAAATTGAAAACTTTCCTGTGGATTCAAAAATAAATTATACAATCTATGAGTGACCTCCCATAAAAGCATTGAGTTAGAATATTTTAAAATCAAGCAAAACTGTTAAACTTTTGTAAAAAAATATTAGTTATAATTGCAATCCTTCGTTGACATTGCTGACTTGATTGAAAATTTATACCTATTGCATTCTGCTATTTTACATTCAGAGATGTGGAAGACTACCTTAAATTTCACAAAAAAGTGACTATTATGTTACTTTTGGATGCTTCATTTATCATAACTGCTTTGGTTTTCTCTCGGAATTATGTTCTTGGGGTAATCGTATGTAGGGTCAGTGTCTACACCGTGTGTTATCTGACATTGAGAATTAGCTTTTGTGCTTTCTTCTTTTTCAACATTTTCTAACTGTAGATAGCCCGCATTATCTAGTTGTTTATTTAATGTGTTTGTGTCAGTGGTTGCTGTTACTGTTAAATAATCACTTGACATCTGATTGTTTATTGTATCAATTCCACATTGATCAATTGTGAGATTTGAGTTCAAAGTGAAAACTTTCATCTTGACTCCATCAAGTTTCCATGCGTGTTTGTTCGGTATTTTTGTTCTATTTTTTCTATTATCTTTCTCGTGTAATAGATCGCAAACACCAGATATTGCCCCAACATATGTTACTTTATCATCTTTGGTCTTGTCTATATTATCAGATGCATAATTTGGTAAATCGTAATCCCCGTTTGATATGTCAATGTCATGATAATGAACTTCTGGAATATTTCCTATTGTATAATAATTCAAATTCAGGTTTTTTGTATGTATCCTACAATTAGAAAGGAAAAAAAGAATCGTAGGAGGACATGGATCCGAATTGCCGGAATTCTGAATACATATATATTATTGTCGAGAAGTTTGGTCGGTACAATCCTTTAGTTTGACTATCTTGTAGAAAAAATACCAGTCAATCAACACAATTGAGCTTTTTACACGAAAAATTGTGTTAAAGCGTTGTGTTTACATTGTTGAGATAAAGTTTTCAGTTTGAATTCTTCGAATACATGTATTGGTGGTACAACATATTATTTACGCGAGAAGGTGGTTTCTGTTTGACAGACGCATGTTACTAGAATAATTGTCATCGTCTTCGATCGTAACAAAGTGTTTTGAATGTGAACCAACAAAAGCAGTTCACTAAACATAATGTTTGACCACATACATTCTAAAAGGCCATTTAAAACTGATGTCATCTTGCTTGAGAGAGTTGTACTCTTGGTTTTGTGCAATGAAATCATACTGAACCGAATATACAGATCATTTCACTATTTCAGAAGCTCTCAAACGTGGCATTTCCTATTTTAATTTAAGATTATTGTTTAACGCATTTTACAAGTCATTCCTGTATCACATCATTCGGTTTCATACCTATTTACTTTTTTCTGGTGTCAAGACGTTTCTTTATCATATCACATTGAAAATCCACGTCTTTTTCAATAACTATTGAACACTAAATGTACGAACTAAACAAAAATACTTACTTCCTGAAAATGAGTACCAGTATTACAACTATTATCACCATAACAACAATTATTGACATAGTAACTCCAACAATCATACCTAAAATTGACAAAAATCGTGGTTGCAATGTATACTTCCTACAAATGTATAATTATGAACTTCGTGTAAGGTATTGTGGAAATTAAAATGTATTAACAATCAGCTGTTGCGTCTGTGATATATACATGTAACTAGGTCTAATTTTTCATTTGATCACTATGACGTTCAATCCTTCTGTTCAAAGTATGTTTCTTAAAAATGTTAACTGCATATTCTTACAAAAGATGTTTTAAGTGCGAAGAGGACAAATACAGTGAAAAATTAAATTAAAAAAAAACAACATTTGACAATATATGGAGGCTTATACAGAATAAAATTCAAGATCATCTTTTATTATGCAATTTATTATTTTAGCGAGAGAATGTGTGACTCCTTAACTATAGGTATTTATCTGCCAAATCGCAAACCACTTTTTTGTGAAAACTGCCGATGGTGGAAATTTATCAGCATGATTTTGTTTATGTTTAAAGACAAGGCGTTCAATTACTAGATTGTTGCAATTGCCTTATTCAAATACAATTGTTTTCAAATTATGTTTAGTTTCAATATTTTTGACAATGCGCCTTGAATCATAGTTTGCATATAACGTATTCCATACCAAGCCTGCCTTCTTCTGTGTCAGTCATATCATTACCTACAATATGAATCAATTAACACATGTAACTAAAACATTTCATCATATACTAGTCAACAAAAGAAACGACACAAGGTAATGTATTTTCCATATATAATAAAATTGGATACACTGTACCAAGGTAAATAATTGCCCAAACTGGTTTAATATTTACAGAGTGTGATTTTCTAGTAAGGCAAATACGCGATTTTTTGTTGTTGCAATTGTTGTTATTTCAAAAATCGTATTTTCACCCAAAAATTCAAAAATCGTCGATATTGAAACTTAAAACTTTAAACTTAAACATGGTCTGCTTAAAATTTTGAATACCTTTGCAGATATTTGAATGCCTAATTCGCATCATCGAAATTAAGTGCGGACTTTTGTCATCATGTTCCCTAAAATAAATTTGACCCTTGTTAAAATAACACGGCATTTTCTCACTTTCCAATTTGGTCAGATTATTTTAATCATATGCATTTGCTTTGGATAATTTAACAGTTTTTCCTATTTATTATATTTTATGATAAAATTGGAGTTCAAACATGTGTATCGTTACTTTTGTTGACTAGTATATATAGTACTTGTTATGGTTAATTGTTGTGATCTTTAATTAAAATACGAAATGTAAATGGTGCATTAGTGATGATTGTTAAACATAAATAATTTTCATGGGAAAGCATGCATTCAGTCAAATCAGTTTTAAAATCTTTTTCTGTATAGTACACATGTACGGATGTAGTTGAGCGGGAACTGTTGAACCCTTCATAAAATCAGAGTTTTTTCCCCGGTTGTTTGTAAGTTCTCGTATTTCATTTGTTTTTTTTACAGCGTTGTTATTCGTGCCTCTAGTTTAGTCTGTGATGTTGTTGGTATATCCTTGACTCGTATTTTGTTCCATATTATGAATTTACTATTTGAAATAATCATGTTATGGCTATCTTAATTGGTATTAAGCCGTCAAGATTGGTATAAAACCAACTGCTTTGGTATTTATCTATTTACACTTGTATATCAGGTCACTATACGACCTTCCGCAATGAGCAAAACGCATACCGTATAGTCAGCTATTAAAGACCCCGACATGATACACTGTTAAACACAATTGAAACAAAAAGCCAACGACCTGATATATGACAAAACAATTTATAAACAAACAAAACAATGCAAATGAATAACAGGTTCCTGGCTTGCGTCAGGCACATGTAGACGGTGGCGGCGATAATCATGTTTTAGCCATCAACAATCAGTTAGACATTTAGCATTCTGTACTGCAATTATACATAACACATACGTGTTATCATTAACACGTAATATAAAGCAAAATTATCATCTTTCATTGTCATTTTTTGTTCCATATGACTTACTTGTATCATTGCTAAGAACTGTAGTTGAGCTACTGGTTAACTCATCAGGAAAACCTGCAACGATATATTTTTTTTAATTTCCAAAAGATTATTTATATATATAGGACGGTAGTGTTTACCACTAATTTAAGTAAGGAAAATGATTAACGCAATCACATTTAAAGGGAAAAGTAGTATTTCATTCTCCTGGCATTAGGTTGGTCTTTTATATACCAAAGTCAGGTAAATGAAGTCACACTTGGATCGCTATGATAGGATGCATGGCTGTATGGGATGTATTTGTACTTGTTTATGAATAACTACAGTGATTCTATTTGCATTATAAATTTTGAACATATATTTTAGAGAATAATTGGAAAGGCTTCCAAATTTTCTTAAAATTGATGTAAAATTACGGTTGCCATAGAATCTCTAGGAAGATGGTCATGCAACCATTTGACTTCAATTCGTAAAACAGACTAATAGAGTACTAATATCACGCATACATGTAACTGCTTTGTCGTGTTTTTTTGTAATAAAAAGTAGCAAATTTGGAACATGTTATATTGTCGCCTCTGGAGGAAACACTTTAATTGTTTTCCCTAACGGTTATCAATAAATAAATGAAAGAATAAAAAAAGTCTCTGTATCTTTGTTAACATTATATCTACTTTACATCTTTTCTCTTTTCAGTATAAAAACAAACCATTTATAGTTTTTCACTAAAGACGTATACCTGAAGTCACATAAGTTGTTACAGTACTATCATAATCTGTAGTGCTCAATTCATCAACTGTAAGATAAAGCATACTGAATTAAAAAAGATAATTTTGAAAATTTTGTATTATTTTCTATTGGGGTAGAAGGTGGTTAAAATTGTATTGTCTTTATAAATGTTAAAGAATCTCAACACTTTTTCGTTCTCAATTTATTCTCAGAGGTTATTGTAACATGTAACACAGCTGGATATAGTATGTAAAAGAAGATTGGTCGTTCATTGTTAAGACGGTTTTACTATACGTTGTCATTTTAAATAAATATCTTCCGTTAATCGTTGATACGAGATCTGCAAAAGGCCACTGTAAAATCTGAAGGGGAGGTTCTATTAATTGTAACTTTGCTATCTGATGGTATAATTCGTAGTTGCATTTTAAGAGAACGGGGCAAAAGTAATATAATATAATTACCTGATTTACACATAAAATTAAGTTTTGTTGATTGTTTGCAATATCCTGTGTGATTGTTGTTCGGTGACAAATATTCAAACTTACTAATATAAGTTTCAATGTTGATGAAATCCGTCAAATCTGTAAATAATATACAAACATTTGTATTAAGGTAAATTAACTGTATAACCCCATCTTGGATTGTAAATAGCAGTTCACAATAGGTCTAGTATTTTGCTTAAATCTGCCGATTTTGAGACAGATTGGCAATCTATGGGTAGACTGTTCATTGAAATAAAGAAAAATAAATGATTTTTTGCATTATTATAAAGTGATTTATCAAATACCAAATATTTGTGTTTGTTCGAATCAAATTGTCAACTAAGCCATTTAAGTGGAGATAACTCAAATAGTATTCAGGAATGATAGAGAAATTTTCAATTTCTACTTGTAGTTAAAAAAAAAGGTCGGTGACACCAGTTTTCTCTTTTTATTTTCTTAAAGCATATATTAAAAACCTTTCCTCTCATATTTTATTTCAAAATTATATCTCCTAGATTTCTTTTTATTCACAAAAAAAGTGTTTCTTTATGAACAATCAATGCAAATTTGGGCAATTTTGCACCACTTGTAGCTTGAAAAACAGCACGGTGATCCATTTTTTTTTATTATATTTTTAAAAAAAAGCATGGAACTACTACATTCTGGAAAAGTATAAGTAAATTCTATCTGAAGAAATATATACCGATGATCCACCTTAAATATGAAATTTGCACAAGTAATTCTAAACATTTAAATTTGTGAAAAATAAATATCATCCACATTTGCTATCAAATGATATCATTTTAATAGGGATATTCAAATATTTTTTCCATTTATTCATTATTTCAGAATGGACCAAAAAGCATGTGCACAAATCCAATTACACATTTTAATCAACTGTAACATAAAACTTGTCTAGAAGTAATGGGGAAGGGTGAGATCTCACAAAACATGATTAACCCAGCCGCATTTTTTTTTTTTTTTTTTTTTAGGTCTGTCCCAAGTCAGGAGCCTCTAGCCTCACTTAGTCTTGTGTTTTTTGTTTCGTTTTTTGTTTTTTATTTAAGTTCATGTTTATGTTTCGGAGTTTAGTGTAGCGCACATTTCGCTAAACTGGTATACATAATTTTTTAAGGGCCAGCTGAAGCCTCCCTCCGAGTATAGGACCAGCTGGTAACATTTGGGCTGTTTTGCCCAGTTTCCAGTCTCTAATCGTTTTAAATTAGATAAACTTTATATTTCTCTTAGTGGGGTAGCTAGGTGATGTCTGTTGACGCACCAGTTCTTGTCCCTTTTTGAATTGATGCGACTGCCTTAGTTTTTCTTTGATACTTTTTTCATCTACTCTTAATCGATTTGCGGGATTTCAACAGCAATAGATTACTTTTGCCTCAAATAATATACTTGAAATGTTTATTACATACGCATAGTTTTTTTTCAAATCAAAAGAATAAAGGACAATTATTATGTCGGTTAAAATTTCCATATATTCTATCAACACGTGTAGTAGGTTGAATATCAAAGCAGTTTAATTTTGAACTTAAAACGTAGTCCACCATGTTTAAAACAAATACACAAAAGCGATCGAATTGGTTGATATCAGGAATTGTGTGATCGTAATAGTGTTTCAAATGATATCTGACTAAACTAGTGATATTTTTGTCCTGTAATAGATTGAATTTGTTATTATCTTCTGATATAAATTTTCAAATAAGTTTACCAAAGACTTTAACATTGGTAATTGATACTTTTCATTGAGCAAGCAGAATTAATGTCATATGGTACATTTACAGAAGCGTTAATAATGTTGCTAGCGTAAAATTGTTATTGTTCACAAAGTAGCAATTTGACATATTGCATTGACTTTAGTCTTCAGCTTTTTTTCAGACGTTTAGCTTAGTTATATAGGAAGATTTTGTATATATTTTTTTTATGAAAAAATCACCAATGTATTTGTTTTTACATTAGTTAAGCATACAGTAAATAAAAAAAAAATATTTTGCTAAAATCATCAACTAAATGTTTTTACATAAAACCCTCATGCGTTTGTCTATTGATAATTCTGCCCAATGAATACAAATGTCCAACAAAACGAAATGTTTAAGAAATATCTAAAATTTCGACTTAGTTTATCTTTAAAAGTAGAACATGACGTTAAATTAGTTATTACGTATTTGAAATAATAATGCAGATATAAGCTTGTATGAACATTTAAGTCTACAAATCATCGTGTGATAAAATTTGGAGTAAAAGCAAAGACTTACTAGCAACCTGAATAATGTGCCCATTTTGTAACCTGGAGACATGTCTTCTTGCATACTGTTACCTTGTTTAATATCCGGCTCAGTGTGTTGGGTGAGTATATATCAGTATTGATATTAAAATATTATTAGCATGTTATCGTCCTGAAAATGAATTTCATTTGCAACTTGCTTCTAGGTTATTATTACTTGATTAAAGATTGTATTGTTTTGACTTTAATTTTAGTGCAAATCAAAGTGGCGCACCCCGTCTCGTCTCCGTTAGTGTGCAACCCTTTAGTTTGTGGTTGTTACCTTGAGTTCTCTTGTAAATCTATTACTTAGATTGGAATATCTACTGTGGCCTGAATTTAAAACCTAAAAATGAATTAATTGTTTAAATGGTTACTTTGTTTTATGTTTCAGTCTTTCAGTTACATTAATTTAAGGAGATTTCGGGTGTCTCATAAAATTGCCTGTTTTTTTCTCCTTTGCTGTAATGTAATAAAATTCAAAGGATTTGATTACTTCGGATTATTTTGATACCCTACAATAGTTATCTAATTCTTTGATTACAACTTTTTACCTAATTCATCAAGACTTGTAAAGTGTAATGTTTGTCTGTATACACCAACCCAGTACATTATATTTTGGTATCTTGGTTCAGTTTGATTACAAATGGTATTTGAATATAGCAACGGATATGTCCAATGCCGCGTCTTGCAGTTTGCAAGAAGGGAGATGAATGTCGTGATCCCGCTATTAGCCTCCATCTTGTTACCTATGATTTAAAAAGAAAGTCTTAATAATATTCAGTGTTGTTTTTTTTTATCGTTTTAAAGTATCACAATATGGCTTCCAATCCATCAATTCGTTTTTGTTGATTAAAATCAATACAACTAGCAAGCCAATCTTGAATGGAATACTCTTAAAAGACTGAACAATGAAATATGAGGTTCATTCTTTTCGTTATTTTTTGGGGGGAAATATCAACTGCAGCAAATTCAGTACTGTTAGAATTCGCCTGCGGGCAGTGAAGATCTATTCAATATGTGTTCAGATTGTTCAGATTTAGTTGGTAATAACCTGTAAGAAACAACAACATACTGAATTGTCTCTAAAGGTACTGATCAGTACTAAATTAACTGCAAGAAATATTTTTGAACGATATTGAATTTGTATTCAGAACAAAAAAGCTAAAAATATCACAAACTATTAATAAGACTTAACGTTTATAGTTTCAGCATTTTGGAGATAATATTGAGATCAACATAACCGTTAAAGACTTAAATTAGTTTACTAGTATATGAAGCGTTTATATTTCGAATATCAAGAACACAGAATAAACTGTAACACCCAGGCTTATCTTATAACTAAGCTTTGACAACAAGTCTATATACAAAATATCTTTAGACTTGTTATGACCAAGCAGGTAAATTATTTGAGTTGCTGGTGCTTTCTGATATGATTTATGTGTTCCCTCTCTTCTTCCAATGTTCAAATTGGATTAAAAAAAAAGAATATCGACCACATTTCGATTGCTTAAATGCTGTTATGATAATGTCCAATTGGAAACATTTATACAGATTCAAAAAATGAAAAAATTGAACAATAGGAATTGTTTCCATTAAGTTGACAGGTATGAACGATGTGAAATTAAGACTAACATGAAGATATGACTAACAGTTTTAGGTAGAAGCAGAAATTGTGCCTAGCAACAGGCCATAAATATTTTTTTGCAGATTTTATTTCAAATTCGTTTTTCTATTGTATTATTTATTCATGTATTGCTCTGTCCTGACTGTTCTTGCATTTATTTGAACTGCATTCCTGTCACGTAATATGTCATTTTAGCAGTATATTTTAACATTGCCATATAAGCGGAAGGTTTGGCTAGCCATAAAACCAGGTTCAACCTACCATTTTTTCTTAAAATATCCTGTACCAAGTCAGGAATATGGCAGTTGTTATCACATAGTCAGTTTCTATGTATGTTGGCGTTTGTTTTTGTAGCAGTTGAGTGTTTCTGTTGTTCCGTTTTGTGTCCTCAAATAGTTGATGTGTTTCCCTCAGTTTTGGTTTGTGACCCGGATCTGTTTCAGTTAAATCGATTAATGACTATTGAACAGCGGTATACTAGTATTGCCTTTATTTTTATTAAGGGCGTAGAATTTGCTCAATATAAATATAGTCGTTTGATATAACGTTCGCCTGTCGACTGCGCATGACAGTATTTTTAAATATTACACACAAGCAGACACAAAGATTTTTGCCTTTTCAGAATCTCATCGCGAGGAAAAAAATCCAGGGTTCAAGAATATATCACTAGACGTTTTTATAAATTCATTTGTATGTCTCGACAATCTCCCTTAAAGTGTATTTATAGACATTTTCGTGGCATATTTCAGCTGGAAAGTACAAATAACAAATATCAAAGACTGTTTGTTGTACATGTAGGTAAAGTGGATATTAATCAAATTCTGTAGTACACTTACAACATACATTGTACATGTGTCGAAAAAAGAAAGAGCCGATTTCAGGGGACACCCAGATAAAGTCCGATAAAAATAGACAACACCCCGGCTAAAATGTACAACGGACACAAATACAGACAACCATACATAAGCAATACACTAAATTAAATATGGAGATAGAAATGGGATGACCAAATGTGATCCGGAAGGGATAGCAGATTCTTTTCCCATAGAAAAAACCGTCGTGTTGCTCATTGCAAGTTAACTCGAGGATTGGATTATGCTTCCTTCCAATGAAACATATCGGTAGTGTCAAGTTTAGAAAGAACATGTTATTGTATATGTAATCCGTAAGGGTACGCAGAACCTGCTTAACATGTGGTACCCGTCATGTTTCTCATGATATTTCAAACCCGGCTATAAGTCTTATTTGATATGTTTAATTATAAAAAAAGGGCGAGATTGTGGTTAAGACAATTGGAACATATCCGTAGTCATCTGTGAAACAGATGATCAATAAAGGTCAGCCAAATTGTGATGGCACCCGTACAATTTACGATGGAAAAATTTCAAATTCACTACTTGGAACTTTGGTTTAATAGCTTCCTTGTGAGCAGCAAACCCCTAACCAGGAAATCAGACTATAAAATGCAAGCTCTGAAATATCTTATCAACTGGGACATATATACTCAAACATAATAATTCAACACATTAAGTCGTGCTTTTCAAGTTCAATTTGAAATCTTTAGTTTTTGGAAAATCTATCTTTACTTTCTTCAAATACAATTAATAGCATAGAATAATTGTATACTTACGACAGTATGCTTTTGAATAACTGTCACATTTTGTTGTTGAGTAGATTGGTGTTTCGGTAGAACAGTTACGAGCCAAACAGAAATTGTCTTCGTCTCTTTGATCATCGTCCAATGATACATTTACCACTAAAACGAAATCCTAATGAATAAATCAATCGGAACAAGATCTAGATTTTATATCACTGAAATCGTGGATGTTAAATCATTATTATGTCTCTATGATTAAAACGATTAGTTAGAGCTACACATTTGCATATGGTGGGGTTCATTTTGATGTACAATTAGATTAAAACAAACTACATGCGTTTATCTGGTATTGTTGATATTTTTTTCTGTTTACAGTTCTTCTCGATCGTCTTTGGAATTTTTCCAAAGCAATAGTGAAACATCGTCATGCAAGAGCAATCACTCCTGTAAAGAGTATGCTAACGATTTTTTGCTAAATTTCACAATTTTTTAAATAATGTCTTGCCGATAATGTTTGCTACTTAAGGAAGCTGGGGTGTCTAAATGTTCGACGATAGATTTTTCTAAAACTTCTGTAAAGCTTCTGGGTCAGTGTACTTTCAAATTTTGATATAAAAACTGGGGGTCGTAGACCTTGTTTTTTCGTTAAAATACTTGAAATTAACGAAATCATGGTTACTTTATATAGGTTATATAGGTGAAACATAAATTTTCCTTATTGATGAAACATTAAACGATAGAATTGAATAAGATTAGATAATTGGTTTTCATTATTATTTTCGAAAAAAAAATAGGGGACTTATTATCTTGAAAAATTCAAACAACAAATTGTCCGATCAAATTCAATATAATTATCTGCCCTTGATTCCATAAGATTTTATTTTATTTTTTTGATTTTAAATGCACTTAACGATACTTGACTTTTTGATAATTTGATCTTTAAATTTAAAGATCATTTTCTGTTGTATATTGAATAATACTCGGTAAAATATTTTTAAACCGACATGACCAAAACGGATGATCAGAAAAAGATATCCGATCTACCTTAAAGTGTCTATCTTTCGTTTAGATTTTAACAATAATAGGCACAAACGCATAAATATGGCACAAATTGTCAATAAAGAGCATGAACTGCAGCAATGAGTCGACTGTCGTTTAGACCCACTTGACTTATTTGTAAAATTGGGCTTGTTGAATTTTCTTGCTTATTAAAGTCTCTATTTATCAATACTGCAACGTCAAACCATTAAATTTCCATTAAAATCCTGTTAAAATCCCAGAAACCCATTAAAGGTTCTGTCAAAGTTTGTAATGTCATTTTTAATGGGTTCTGAAAAAAGCCATTATAATCCTAATTAATTGCCATTACATCAGGTCAATCTAGTTATGATGCCGTTAAATAGCCATTATTATAACTTTACCAAAACCTGTTCTTATATCATGGCCATTATTTTTTGTAATGAAAAATAATTAATGGTTATTTAATTAATTACTAACATATATAATATGATGACCGAAAAAAGGAATTTCCATCCTGTTTGTCTCAAGCGTTAACATGTAATGGCCATTAATTGTATGTAATGGCCATTAAAAGTGTCCAATTCAATAAACTTTCAAACTTTAATATTTGATAACCATTAAATTATTTCCTGTTAATACAATTATTAATAAATGACCATCATAAATATTCCATACCATGAATTGTAACACAATCTTATGAAGTCTGTTCTAGTTTTCACCACTGATTGCCGTTTATTGTTTGATATTGGGGCCACTCTTTTGATCATGCCAATTTGTGTTGGTTTTATTAATTACTGTTTTTTTAGTTTAGTACTCTATTTCAGTTGGTACCAACTATCTGAACTTGTGTTTGATGTATATTGGATTTTATAGTTTTTTAGCTAATTGGCAACCGAACTACGTACATGTTTTTATTTTTAATATTTATTAGCACAGCTTTGAAAATGTTTCATATTAGGTGTGGCATTAATTATCACAGAAGAGGCACTTATCATGCTTTAATACATAGTCTAAACATCAACGATGCTCTTGATTAAACATATTTGAATCTTATGACAGAGAAACGCTTTAAATAATAATTAATTTGGGAACTTACGATGCTATTTCCAAGTAGTTTGTGGTGGCCTTACATTTTCTTTTCTCAATATTTATAACGTCAATTCTGAATATTTCTCCAAATTCGTAAATATGCCACACTTATCGCATTCCAAAATATAAAAGAACTTTAAAAAAATATCATATAAACAAACAATTGATTGCAGAATCTCAGGTGAGTTTGTGAGTTAGTATGATCTATTTTATTGCATTGAATTATGTTTTGGGGAAGGTTATATTTTTTGGTAGTTTAACTTGTCACGGCCTGGCTTTGGAACTGGGTAGGCAAATGCCCTTGGGCAAATGCTCACATTAATCAGTGCCTAAAAAGACTGCAAAATGTCCTCCTTTACGCCATAAATTTTGGTGGTGCTCCTTATAAAGGAGGATTATACGCATACAAGAAGTGTATGCATATTTTTTGTACATCGTTGTCTAATAAATAATTACTATCATGCTTATTGTTTACGCATAAATAAGTGCTGATTTTAAATGAAATGTATTCTTCTGTATATGTGTTCCTCTTACTAATTAAATCATAAGCTGACCATAGTCACTGTTTAATAATGTTCGCTGGTCAGGTTTCAATTTTTGTCAGATTTTCACTATTATCTTGTTTGAATACCATAAGCCAAGGCACATACCATTTTGATTTTCTATGGGAAAGGAAAGGAGTGTTGTAGCAAGCAAGATTTCTTTGTACTATACAAACCAAGCATTAAATTATTTTTTTTCAGTATCCAAAATTTAGATTTTTTATACCTTGTGTATATGGGAGGAAATTTGGGCTTTTAACACTGCTTCAATGTAAAAAAATGGTAAACAAAATCTAAGGGTTGGTATTTTCTGTATAAAAAATACAGTAGGTGGGGAAACCCCTAACATTCTTTTAACACGCCTTACAAGTCTTATAAGATTAAGAAAAACTTGTAATTCTCTATATGTTGTACTTTTCAACATAGTGAGCAGAAATTAAAAGAATAAGTAACAATCGTAATTTAAAAGGCAAAAGCTGACAGTTTTGATTTAAAAAAAAAAGAATTAGATTTCAACATTCGAGAAATTCCTGTCCTGTCAGATATTCCTTATTCATAGCGGTTCCCAGTCGAAAAGATGAAGCTTGAATCTCTCTCCTATGGTCTTAGTTAGCCATGTCGGCCATGTTGATTAGAAAACAGGGATTACAGACACATTTTGTAACTAAATCCTGTTAAAGTTAAGCGACGATCACGACGAAAGACGAAGTATGACGAACGCCAAGTGATGAGACAGCATGCAAAAAAAAAAGTTAAAAAAACAAACAAACAAAATCGACAAAAAAAATACAAAATCGTCTGCGAAAATTATCTTAGTAAATATATGCATTAGGATCCAAATAAATCAAATCATCGACACTTATTATAGCTATATTGATAAATAGAAACACAATTAAGAATGAATTCCATCAGATGTTATTTGATTATTTTTTTTGATTTCGAAATTAAACCAAATGCAGTTAAATCTTCACAATTAAAATACTTTACTCTGTGTTTATTTATTTGCATGTATAGATAATTGAGTTTTCGGCATTAACTGATGACGTCATGTTATTTTGTAATAAACATTATCACTAGAAGAAAGGTAATAATTACTATTTAAAATACCTCTATAAACTTCGACAAATTTATCGCAAGCACGTGCAGCTGCACAATCCGAACACAAACTTGCATTTTCACTGACAGCACTGACTAGCCTTTCGTCTTCAAAACAAAAACACCTGTGTTCCTGGAAAAGTTATTTTTGAGGAAAACATCTACGTAACATTGAATATAATTCATCAACAAATTTCAATTAAAAATCTTAATTTGACACACAAAGAAATGTTAATGATTGTAAGTTTGTAATCCAAACTATCGTTGATATGCATGTTTGGTCTCAATGTATGTTTCCATGAGAAACACAGTGGCTGCCATTTGTTAAACAGGAACTGCATTCCATCTCAAAGTTCCTGAGTTCGCCTTTTTTCTGTTCCTAATGTTGTTTGTATACAAGTAACAAAAATTAAAGACGACACATCAAGTAATTCGTATGAATGATATATGTGTCTTTCCGATGAAGTACTTGTACATGTACGTGTATAGTTCCAACACATTTTTAAAGAGCTGTTTCACTGTAACATGTCAATACCGTGTCTCGATGGATTGATATAGATACATGTATGTACATATATTATTATGTTTCATCGAGCAGTAAACTACATTTGGAAGTAAAAGTTCTTACGATGATCATAAAATTTGAGGATCAACCTTTAACCAACATTGGTTGATCTAAATATCTTAAAACAAACTGCATAATAATGATAGAATATAGTCCAAATAACTTATCCAAGAATTCATATATATTCGATCAATAAATTGAGGCAACATTGGTTCATCGATGTTCAAATCTCGTAAAACGATTGAAAAAAGACGAATCAATGTAACAAACGGAAACTGATGGACTTGCATGCACTCCAGAAACTGGATGCGTCGATAGGATCAGTGTCTCGTCTTGTGCATGCATCCGCAGCAATACGAAAACACGTACCTACTCAGTGAAGACATCGGCACATTAGCACATTGTATCGGTCAACCAATTCGTGAAAGTGACTGTGAAACTTACGTTGTACTTTCTTTCATAACTATGTTGGAGTAGTTGTCGTGTAAGCAGTGTATCCCTGTTAACAAAGTCTGTATAGTGTGAACATGCACGAGCGTACTTACCTGATGAATGTTAATGCTAAAAGCCATACATGTTATTCTCTATTCATTACATTGAAAAGTCGTCTAATCAGAAATTTTGCCAATCATGTCTTTTTCTCGATAATGACACTTTGGCGGATTTAATTCATTTATGAAATTATCATTTTCAGTTTACTTGGAAATCATGGTTATTCATTTCTACCAAATTTAAGTAATAATAATTGATGATTTTATCCAGCTTCTTTATTTTGTGCTAAAACTGTTTTGTTTTTAAGATTTTTTTAGAGATTTTGACTTACATGTTGGTTAAATCCAAAATATCCACTTTTATTTTCCCGTGTATTCATGCACTTAACTTGACAGACAGCTGAACTATCCACATAAGGTATTTCAACATTAACGGTATCCCCAGATATTTTATAGCAACCTTTAAGTAGTAATACATCATGATGTTACTCGTATGAAAATATTATATGACAAATGAATAAAGAAGTCGTACTAGCTTTAAAGGTCAAAATCGATCATAACATTTTGAACCGTATTAAAGCTTATCTAATACCCCAATGCCTTTATATTTCAAAATATGCATACGTAATGTTTTATACTGTACAGTAAACACTGTCTGCTTGCATTTATTGTCGCGATATTTGAACAATAGACCGCAAAATATGCAAGCTGTATTAGACCGATTTCACGAAATACTGTATGAAAATAGTGCTATCTAAACATAAAGGTTTTTTTTAGGATTGCTAACCTATCTCGTTCCCATGTTTGAAAACATTTTAGACCGAAATGGTGTTCTAATGCACAATTAAATCATGTATTCCTCTTGGGAAACATTAAAAATATCTCGGATCAAACCAAATGTGTCATAAAAGAGTGAATACGTATCTCATTGAGTATTTATCATGCATTCGGCCATTCGACTATTATATTCACTTTCTTTTCAAAATAAATGGTCACATTTATACGATTTTTATTAAGGGGTATTTTTTGGTTGCGGTATTCCTTACCCAATGAGTCTCCGGGCATTACAAGGTGTAATACCACCATTGATTTTCCCCTATTGGTCTTTGTTTAATTTGCACTTTTCAAAAAAATGTGCAGAATTTATCTTTGTTTCAAATAAAGAAATACTTGGCATGGGTAAATTTTTATCCTGTCCAATACTATAGAAAAATTTCACATAACATTTCATTGCATATAAGAAAATAACCATCACTGGAAGTTAACCAATCACATTTTCCCCCTTTTTTAACCTGTGTACAAGCTTTAGTAACCATGTAACCTCAAGTTTCCAAAATATTCTATAGAAAACCCAAATAAAAAAATAATGGTGCTTTGAAATACCCAAGATATATGTTTATGACCCAGAACTGTTTTACTGCAATGAAATGTTGGATCAATTACCTACAACTGTCAAATTCAAGGGAATATTTTTTTACACCTATTTTCGTGACGTACTATGATTTGGTGGTATTACACCTACAAGCAGTAGGTAAGTAGGTTAGTGGATGTTGTACCATAACCGTGTACAGATGCTCAGTCTTTTTATCATTTATTCATAAATGAATTACGTTTTATAATTTTAATGAAAGTTTACTTTTTTTTTTAATATTTGAAAGTGCCTACTCATTATTGACATAAATAGCGGAAGTTTAACATGCAATTCAATGCATTTCAATTGCACATTGTCAAATTGTGTATACATATAATTTGTTTATATTTTGTTCTCCAACGCAAACCTCTAATTTCAATCCATGGTAACCAGGCTTCAAAGCTGCCAACCCATACGTTCTGTATATTATTATTTGCATTGATGTAATCAGCAAGTACTGTTATATTGTTTTCTAAAATGGTATGTCTATCATAGCAATGTAAAGCTGCTTCCGTCCATGTTAAAGTCGTTTCGGAAAATCCAATGACTGAAAGCATATGCATTTTATTAAATATTGAAACCTTTCAGGTTGATATAGATATGAGATTAGATTCATGAAAATGTTTAGTTTGATTTGTGATATACCGTTGATGAGCAATGCATTTCTAAAGATTTCTGTAGATTGTCCTGATTTTCTGTTTGTTTGGTAATTTAGTTAAAACTGGAATGTCAAATTTATACGGCGGCGTTAGTTCTTTCAATAAACTACTGGTACAAGTGTCAGTTGGAAAACAAAAAAGAAACCTCAGAATAACTATTTAACATACCCGCAGATCTTTCATAAATACGGGTCAAAAACAGAATGTGAAATGAGACATCGATCATTAATCTTATGTATGTCGATTGTAGGGAGGGTTGGAGGTTCACGTGTTTTTTCTTGTGTTAAACACATTTTGTGCTATTTCATTGTTTAATATAAACAGCTTGAATCGCAAAACTTGAACTATGCTATTATTAAATCAAATCTTGATACAAATAAAAGAACATGGCGTAAAATATATTTCACACAGAATTAATAAACGTGCAATTATATCTCACCTTGTTCACCTTTTGAGGAAACAGAGAACAATGAGAACAAAACTAAATAGTCAAATTGCATGCTTCCACACCATGTCGTGTCAGGGTTTTTATCTAAAAAAAGAAGTTTTTTTTGTGTCTTATTACAAAGAAAACAATTAATATTCAGATGTCATTCAGTCCACCGTTTTAATTTAAAGTTAACCATCAGGAAATAATTATTTCGGAAATGTTAAGTGTGTATTTATGTCTTTGTGTTAAAACACATTTTCATTTCTAAAAGGTAGACATATGTCTATTGTTGCATACTTTATTTGGCTCTCTGATATCTTGTAGTAATTCATGTCATTTGATTGCTGTCATATTTCGCCAAAAAAAGATAAACACTACTACTTTTTATCAGATCCTAAATAAACATACACAAAGAGAAAAACAATAAATCACATTATCTTGAGAAAATAAAGAAAATAATAAAGTATGATCAAGTTCTCGGCAGGGGATACGTCGATCATATGTTCACATTTAAGTTCGTAAGACTAATATCATGCCTTTTTATACTATTTTCTGAGTGATAATGAACTTTATCCTATCTCTAATACTAAATACAGCAATTTTATATATTTAATAAAGGTTCTTTTCTCCAGTCTGTATCATTTACACTGTATCGCATAGCTAAACCCGTATCGCATACCGGGCATGACGTCTTATATCGAATGATGTCAAAGTTAGACATATGACGTCCAGTAGATGGTTGTCTGGCTTGATACGAAATGTAACCACATCTAATTAGAATTTTAGATAAATACTTGCAAGCGAAAATTGGTCATTTATGACATTAAATTTTGGAAAATGATCAAAAGACCAAGTTCTCCCTTCACTAGTATTTTGTAAGTAGTACATGTAGATGTATGTGTGTTACTTTGGTGGGAAAAACACATGTTAGTAAAGTTTTAACATCAAGCACTACTGATTTTAGTAATCAAAGTATGCACATTTATAGTGCAGCAAAATAGCAACCCTGTCGAATATGTGGAGTTCATATATATATATATATATATATATATATATATATGAACTCCACATATTTATGGATATGGTGTACAAAAACCTTTGCACCTTTTGTTTGCTATATACCATCTTTTCCGCAAGTTTATTGTTTTCTGTTTAGTATTAAATTTATAATTAAGATCCATTTATTACATCGGTGATCCGTTTATTTGGCAATCGCCAATGGCAGTCAGCAGGGTTTAAGAACATTTGTTGTTCGACCTGTTAGTCAAATGCGTTTTGTTACATTATACTTTTTCACGTTTTTGGTCTTTTTGAAAATGTTGTTTGTGCTGTTTTTATACCCCTCCAACGCAATCATAGGTTTGAACGTTGTTTTCAATTTAGACTTGTATATATATATATATATAGGAATCCCTCTGTTTGTCTGTCCATAATCTTTGAATAGATGATACATGGTAATATTGTTGCCCACATTTATACAAATGAGATCAGATTGTAGTATAATATGAAAATAAAGGTCACATCGAAACTTGGTTAAACTTGTCCTAAGAAGGTTTAATTAGTTGATGTTGTTAACCGTATATGCTGCGCT